TTCCCCGGGGCATTGCCCCGGCTGCCCGGGTGGATGTTGCGGCACTGATGAAACGAAATCAAACAATACGGAGACCTGACACTGAAAGCATGAAATACGTACAATAGACGACAATAATATTGTCAATATATTATATTGTAGAACAATAATAAATTAAAAATATATTTGATATCGCCAGGCTACTTAAAAATAAATTCTAGTAACGGGGATTTATTGATTCCGCCGGACACTGTTCATTCGACCCCTCCCCCCAATTATTTAATTATATAATTCAAAATGAAAATGCATAATCTAATTAATATTTATATGTGAATATATTGTAAAATGTAATAAGTAAATGTATATAAGTAACTACTTTTGATAATATTTGGACACGTGTTTTAAATAAGTGAACTTAGAAATGTTATTATCTTTCAAATCATAAGATAAATTTTCAATACATTGTTTTTTTTTATTAAAAGCACTATTTTTGTTAGTTTTTTGTATGTTTATTCCGTTTATGTGTATGTAACTGTCAGTTTGTATTTTTTGATTTAAAACATGAGTGAATATGAAAATGTTGAGATGACCTTTTGTGAATTGTGAATTTAATTTTGAGTGGAAAGACTCGCAGCTATTGGTAGTACGTTCCGATGTTATTTCTCTTGATGCCCAAATACGTAGATTGAATTTTGCATCTTCATCAATATAATATTCAACTAAATAATCACAGAACTTAACTAACCTTTCATCATCTGGAGAAACTGACATCAAAAAAGCAATCGCTTACTTCTTCTGGATTCAATAATTGTAATCCGAATACCCATTTTAAACAATTACCTATTTCACTTGATGCATCTTTATATTCTTTTGATAAGCCTAAAAAATAAAAATTATAAATTAATTAATATTAATAATAGATAATACAACAATAATATTATTGTACGCAGTGGCGTATTTACGGGGGGGGGGGGGGCCCAGGGGTATTGGATCCCCCCAGAACCTCTCCAAAAAATAAAATAACTAACAAAAATTCTTACATATTTGCAGAATTGGCTATGTTAAACATTCACAGGGAAGTTGAAATTACTGTTGATGAAATGATAGAGGAGTTGGCTAAAAACTCGAGACAACTGGAATTTATTTTATAACAAAACTTCATAATATATAATGCTAAATACAATATATAGGTACATATATATAATATTACATAAGACTATACGATTATTACATTATATATTTAGGACGTAACTATTACAATATAATATAATATAGTTTATATTAATTATGTATAAACTGTGGACCCCCCCAGAAAAAATTGAAAATACGCCACTGATTGTACGTGTATTAGAATTTATATTTACCAATACTTTGAATGTGTTTCCGCCAATTTTGTGTTAAATGAAATCTGCGACCGACGATCCGTATTTCTGGCCATAATATTTTTGCACCAATATGTATAGCTTCTTCAAAATCGGAAACTAATTTTGATGGAGAGAATAATAAAACAATTTCCGAACATTTATCAACCACATATCCAAACGATTGTGCATATGTGTCTTTAAATTTGTTTGGTAGTAATAAGTATACGAGTGGAATATAATGTCCGTTCTTGATTATGTGGATAGTAAAAAGCTAAAGAAAATATTTTGCACAGTAAGTAAATGTACATCCACAAATATTTTGTCTACTGAACATAGTAATTTTAAATTCGATTCTGTCAAAAAACATATAATTTTGTTTACTGAATCAACAACAAGAATAAAGTTTTCATCCTGGACAGTTTTAATTTGAAGCTCATTCATTACGTTTATTACTTCTATAATATTTGTTGGGAGTTTCGGATATAATGATCTACGAGAGCGGTATAAACATTGATAAATATTATTAATATCTAAATTAATACCTGTAAACGTTTGTGTTAGTTCTGGATTAGTTAAAAACCTCTATTGATGATTTTTGAAGGCTTTTCCAATTCGTCTTCCGATTTTCGTTTAAGTCCATTAGAAAATGATTTTTTTGAGATACATGATGCAGTTTCTTCGTGATGGTTGATATTATGTATAATTTCATCTTTCAAAATGTTATTTAATGCTTGATCTACATAAAATTTCGCGGTGCACTTTTCATGTATACACTGCCATTTTAAAGCATCTAAAGATATCACATAGTCTTTTTTATAATATTTACTATTATTATACAAAATCAGATCTTTTTTTCGTTCACTTGAAATTATAGAAAAGTTCATTGTAATTAAAAATGTAATGAATTGTTAAAGATCCTAATACAAGTGTGCGAATATGTGACATTTTGTACACGAGGAGCAATTTCGTTAACTAGATCGATACTGGCGATACTAATTAGCAACTATGCGAGAAGAAATAAGGAAAGTCTACATTTTAACAAGCGGAACCGTACCGAACCAACATAAATATACTATTATAGTCTTATAGATATTATATTATATCTTATCTTAAAGATAAGATTTCGGTTAACATTTCTAAGTTCACTTATTAATTGTATGACACAGTTTGTGTCCAAATATTATCAAAAGTAGTTATATACTTTAATTTTGAACTATACAACTATAATTATTTTATATAATATAAATTATATATTTAAAAATATACATAAATACATATTAATTAAATAGTAATATTATAATTTATAGTTAGGTATATATTATACTGTCTAAATTATGTATACTTTCTAAATAGACTATACATTTTAAAATACATATACAATGGGGAAGGGGGGGGGATGAACAGGAATCAATATGTAGATATTATAAACAGTAGCCGACGGAGTCGATATAAAATCGGCGGAATCGATATACAACCTCTAGGTAACATGTAAAATAGTAAATACCATATTATTTATCAATTATCAATATGAAACGAAAATGTGGGAATTTTTGGATTCTCCTAGATGAATATTATTTTTCAATTAATATAAACGAGATTTATGAAAAATACAAAATAAAATATAAAATCATGTAAATTAACAAAAAATATCACTAAAAATCTGAAATTTTTCAAATAAGAATGTTAGTTCAAAGGATTATTATGCATATCGGTTGATGGTTAGATACGATCAGGACAACGTTATTTTACGATGTCGTGAACTTTGTCAACAATTCATGATCGACATGTATGAAAAGATAGAGAGCGAACCTAACCAACCATGTCTTCAGAAATCCAAACATTATATAAAAGAATTACTGAATTAGAACACTCAAATTCATCTGTTCAACTACCTGATTTTGATATTATGAAAGAATATCGTGGTAGAATACTAAAAGAAAATAACCTCATAATATTTAATGTGGTCTGAATGTACATCTGAAGATTCTTCTGTAGCTACTAACTTAGTTAACGAGATACTTCAGAAATTATCTAGTCAAATTTTAACATCTAAAGCTAAACGGTTAAGTAAACTTGAAAATCGACCACGTCCTATTTTAGTACAATTCAACTCGTCCACAGAGGTTCACTCTATTCTGCGTATTAAATCTAAAATTCATAACAGCGTTCATTGGAAAAATGTTTTGATTAGTATGGATATGACGGAAATCTAAAGAAACCACATGAAGTCTCTCCGCACTCAATTTAAGACCAAATGAGAAGCAGGTGATTCAAGCTGGCTCATTAAATATGTCACCGGAGTTCCTAAACTAGTCAAAAAAACTAACTTGTCACCCCAAGATTAATAATTTATGTAATACATTCAATACTGTAAATAATCGTTATAATTCTATTAATTTTAATTGTAATAATGTTAATATTTCTTCCGGTATGAATCAAAAAGTAAAAGGCCTTCGGACTAAACTTAACTTACTTCGTGTTAATATTCCTTGTTTAAATTATGACCTTTTTGCTTTGACTGAAACACGGTTATGCAATTCTATCCATGACAACGAACTTTACTTTAATAATTACAACGTTTTTCGGTCAGATCGCAATTCCCTTACAAATACCTAAGTGTAAAAGAAGAGGGGATGTTGCCTTGTGTATTAAAAATAAATGCCCTGCTTTACAGATAATACCTCCTACCTTCTGTATTAAGCATTTAACATATTAGTAGAAATTAAACTTAACCCTAAGAGGAAAATTATTCTGGTAGTTTGTTATATTCCCCCATCAAGTACTTTAACTAGTTACGTTAGTTTAATAAGTTCATTAGAATAGTTACAATCTACACTATCTATCAATCAAAAAATCATAATAATGGATGATTTTAATTTATCTGCAGCCTCTTTCACGTCTGATTAGGATAGTCTGCACATTAACGGCATTACTTCTGAAAGTTCTAATACACTCTACGATTTCTTTTCCAACAATGGCTTTTTACAATACAATCAAATAAAAAATTACAAACAATTTCAGTTAGATTTAATTTTCTCCAATGTAATAAATACCTTTGTATCTCTAAGCTTTGAAGAATTAGTTCCTGTAGATGTTTATCACCCTATTCTTTCTATTTGTTTTGAATATACTATTTCAAATCAAAAATTAATTGATTCTAATTATAAGTATAATTCTAAAAAAGCAAACTATAAGTTAATCAATCAGGTCTTATCCAACTGTGACTGATCTAAATTATACAATTTAAATTGCGTTAATTTTGCCACTAACGAGTTTCATCGTATTGTAACTGATGTTATGAATATATATCTATTAAAATGTATTAGTCATACACGAACATTTCCTAACTGGTTTTCAATTGATCTACGTAGATTGTGAAGAAAAAAATTAGTCGCCCACAAAAAATATAAAAACTCCAAAATCCATTCTGTTTACGTAATATTTTCTAACATTCGTAAACAGTGTAAAATATTAACTAAAAAATGTTACTCCGATCATCTAATTTACACCCAAAATTCACTTATCAGTAATCTCAAATACTTTTGAAACTATGTTAACAAATCTCGGAAAAATAATGATATCCCTGGTTCTGTACACCATTTAGATAAAACCACTGATAATCCATTAGAAGTTGCTAACTTAATTAGTGTTTGGTTTTCGTCCGTTTATGTTAAGCCTATTATTTTTTATAATACAGTGCTAGATAATATCTATGACTGCATTGATTGTAATATGATAGATATCTCAATTACTGAACTTTTTGATTTCTTAGCTTCGTTAAATAACACATATTCTTCAGGTTCTGATTTCATCCCTCCTATCTTACTAAAAAATTGTCATTGGACATGGACTAAACCTATCCATCACTTGTATAATCTTTCTTTAAAGTTGAATATATTTCCAAAGGCCTGGAAAGTCAATTACGTCACTCCAATCTGGAAGTCTGGTGATAGATCTTTTGTCTCTAACTACAGACCAATATCTAAATTAAATATTATCTCAAATTTTTTTAAAAAAATCCTCGAACCTAAAAAAAAGATTTATTTTTTTTTTTTTTTTTTATTAAAAGGAAACTTTGTTAACAATTAGTTTCGACAATTATGTTTACAAAAAATATTACATAAAGGCATATAAAATTAACGACAGAAGATATATTACAAATAAATTAAATTTTTAAGCCAGCCTGCTTAAAGAAGAATATAAGTGAGGTAATAATTGGTATAATTGGTGAAGAGAGGATGGATTGGGTGTCGAGAGGGACATTAAAAAGTGGATTAGGGCGAAGAGGCTATTGCGTTGGGGAACCAGTGAGGGACAATGATAAAGTATGTGTGAGATATCGCAAATCATGGGATCATGAGCGTGTAGCATGCATAAAGGGGAGTCATTGAGAGAAAGTTTATAAGAGTGTGAAGGCAGTAGAGTGTGTCCAAATCTTAAGCGTGAAAAAGAAGTAATCATTTTACGATTTAATTTGAGGTTGTGAAACCAAGGATGAGAAGGAATAGACGGTGAAATATTTTTGTACCAAGGGGCATAATTGGGTGCTAGATTGTTCCATTGGTTGTGCCATAAATTAGAAATATGAGATTTTAGTAAGGGGAAAAAATCGGTCCAGGGAATTAAAGTCGGATGACAGCAGAACGAAGAGGTAGATTTTGCAATGGAGTCCGCTATTTCATTACCTTTTATGCCAGAATGGCCAGGCACCCAAAAAAATTCAACTATAACATCTGAAAAAGAAAGTTCGTATAGGAGTTGCCTGATCCTGATGGAAATAGGGGAAGGGCTGGAATTGAAAAAATCGGAGGAGAGGCTGAGAAGGCTTGATAAGGAGTTGGAAACGATGAGGAAGCTATTGGGAGGGAGGGTAGAAATGGTTGAGAGGGCTTCTAAAATTGCGAAGCATTCGGTAGTGAAAGATGAAGCAGAAGGAGGTAGATTATTGGACATGGAGATATGTAAACCGGGAATGTAAAAAGCGTAACCGAACGAAAGAGAGGAAACGGAACCATCAGTATAAATTAAGGTGTAATTGGGGAAATGATTTTGGATGTATTCTAAGAAAAGGTTGTTGACGATGATAGGTGATATAGATTTAAGTGACTTGGAGGAAACGTTAAAAAAATGTTTGTTAGTGTGAACTTTAGGGGTGTAAGACAGTGACAAATAGTTAATTTCGTATAAGGGTGATTTTTTGGAATTTATAATAAAGTCACGAGTTGAAGTTAAGGAATATGCCGTGGATGCAAGAATTGGAAGTGATTTTTTAACATAACGCCAAGAGTAGTAGATGTCGAGGAAAGAGTTAAATATAATAGGATAGCAAAGGGAAAGATTTTTTAGAAGAAATTTACCAGCCAACCATCTGATTCTGATATTGAAAGGGGGGCATACTGTTTCTATCTCGACGGCCGCATTAGGGGTGGATTTTATGGCACCAATAATTGATTTTAGAAAGGAGTTTTGGAGATTATTGATTTTTTTCCAATGTGAATAAGAAGCGGAACCTGATAGGAAGCCACCGTAATCAAGTTTGGACCTAATGACCGCTTTGTATATAATTAGGAGCGTGGAGGGATGTGATCCCCACCACGTATTGGAGATTGCTCTAAGGAAATTGGCCCAAAGAGAGGTAAATTTGGTGAGAAGTAGGAGATGGGGGGCCCAACGGAGTTTGGAATCTAGTGTTAGTCCTAGATATTTTATACTTTGGACTATTGGGATTGGGAAATCGTTTATAGTGATTTCAGAAAAAAGAATATAGCGTCTTCTGGTAAAAATCATGGCCTTACACTTTTCAGGAGCTGTAGAAAGAAAGAAGAGGATAGAAGGTTTTGTAGGAGATCGAGCGAATTGTTTAATGATACTATTGCAAGATCAAGATTTGAATTGTTGGAGAAAATGACCAGATCATCGGCATAAACTAGATACTCATGGCCAGCTGTATTTAGTTGTTTTATAATGAAGTTTATATACAAATTAAAAAGAATAGGAGCTACCCTGAGGAAGACCTGTGAAGGTGGAGCGTAAGTTAGTGGATCCGT